TGCCACAGCAGAGTGTGGGTGATTGCCATGGTTTAGGGACTCCTCCAGCGAGCAGCTTGCTTCGCAGGAATCCAACACACCGATTTTGCTACCAAGACACCACCCATGTGACCCAAGGTGGAGACCCATCCAAAATCTACCTTTGTTTAGTTTAATTTGGGTCAGATGAAGCAGATAAACTGGACACCCAAATATCTGTTACCAAGGACCTACTTCCACAGTAACCTCTGGAAGTCAGCCTGGTGTGATAACCATGTGCCCTGCTCTACTAGCATGCTAGCAACAGACGGCCTCTAGTCACTGTATGTTCTCAATCAAATTAATTGTGCTGCCTGGCTTTTAAGGAAGAGGGGATGCTGAAAGATTTACTTTACTATATATGGAAGCATCAGCAACTGGAATGCGTGTTCCAGACTTGATGAAATCAGATGAAAAAAAAGGGTCTGAGCCCTGTCCAGTGTTTCAGGATTCGGTTAGCTGTTCCAGGGCGAGGTCAAGCAGAATTGCTTTTAGGAAAGCAGTGAAGCCTCAGGATAGGGCAACAATGGGCTAGGACTTGGGAGAGTCCCATTCTTGGCTCTGTCACCAACCAGTGTGATCCCTTTCCTGTCCGTGTCTCAGTATCCCCATCTGTAAAATGGTAAGTATACTTATCTGCTTTATAAAGTGCTTTCCATCTACATAGATCTCAAAGCATTAGACAAAGAGCTTGGTACAGGTAGTCCTTGGACTTGTGACACAATTGGTTCCTGAAAACTTGGTCTTAAGTTGAAACGTTGCAACTCAGAAACAATTTTCTCATAAGAAAATGTTGTAAATGGGGGATTGGTTCCTGAACCAACGCCCAATACCTTATTTTCACAAAAAATACCCCAGAATTTTGTACTTGATCAATTATAGATGAGCAATATAGTGACATTAATGTATTTATATTGTAAATAGCAATCATATTGATTTGGAAGGACTTCTTTGAGGCGACTTTACTGGACTTTTTGAAGGGCTCTTGGCTGGAGTCTTCTCAGGAGTCTTGGCTGCTTTCTTAAAGAAAGCATCCAAGGAAGTTTGGACAGATGTTCTCCAGGGAGATGGGTGACGCAGCAAACTTGTTCACTGGCATGGCGTTGCATGGGATCAAGCGTTGTCCAGTCAAAATTGACATCAGAAAGTTGAAACAGTGTCAATTTATAAATGTTGTAAGTGCAAAACATTGTAACTCGAAACGTTGCAAGTTGAGGACTGCCTGTACTTGGTATTCATCTTTCAGAAACCAGATGATATTGCCTCAGTGGTTCACCTGAGTAAGCTGCCAACTCTATTTATTAGAACAAAAATACCTCATGGGAAAGCTTATTATAAATGATACCTTCTCATGTTTAGTGCCACTGAGGGGTTCTGACAATCTGAAGCTTAAAATGATGCATGAAAGAGAATCTTCTTAAAAAGAAGACAGAATAAAATTCCAGTTTTCAGAGAGGCTTTGTAACATCTGCTAATCACTCTCATCACCACAGTGCTGTTTGACTGAAACAGTCATTACCTCATGTCTGGTTAGAGTTGAACTGGTTCATTCATGCTTATGCTCTGCCACAACTTCCCCCCACCCCCCAGTTTCCATGCTGTAAGCACATACCCAATATATCTGGCTTCAGATATCTGGATATCTCCCCTTATGTCACAAGCTACAGTCAGAGTAAAGATCATCTACAGGTCTGGAAGAGGACAGGACTGCTAGATTGTTAATTGGTCAAAACATCTGCTCAAAAGGGATCAGCATCAGAATACCAAAACCAGGTATAACTGCCATTAAAACCAATTTGGCTCCTATACGTGATAAAGCATCTTCCCAATTTTTCCTTAAAAAAAGAATAGTCACACGAATACAAAAACCTGATTTCATTTCTTACTTGAAGGAATCATTAAATTAGTTGCGACTTATGACAAGGATCCTGTTATTCAAAGACGAGAGGAATGATGTGCCTGAGGTCATGGGCACGTGAACAACGTACCACAAAGTACAGGTAGGTATGAGACTGAGCATGTTTTTGAAAATCTGCCCTCCTTTATTTGGCAGTATCTTGTTTGTGTGTCCATGACCCTACTGTCCTAAAGTTCAAGTCCTACTACGGAAATCCAGCCTAAGGAAGCTATAGCTGATGTAAAGGATTAGAGGCAGGCAGGGAACAGATTGCAGCCCTGGCCAGGCTCTGGACCATGCTGTCACCACTGCAAGATACCAGCCCGGGCCCAGGAGTCGCTCCCAGCCCTGCTGTATGCCCTGCCAGTACTGCCCTGTGCTGCCACAGTGCTCCCCTGGGGTCTCCATGGAAACCAGCTGCAATGATGCAGGCAGGGGCTGCTGGGAAATGAAGTCCAGCAGCCGGCCAGCTCTGACATTTTACCCACCCCTTCTTTAATATCATACAATCAAAAAGTTATTATAAAAAGACTTCTACTGAGGAAGTAATTTGCAAGTAATTTAAAATTTACTTGCAATCTCTGCACGACAACAGGAAACTTGCAACAGGAAGGGACTGTCGAAAGATAAGAGTATTTGGTAAGGTTAACAGTTTGGAGGAAAGAAAGACCATTAACAGGGAAAGAAGCACTCACCTCTATCTTCTCTGCTTTTTCTGAAGCAAATAAAGACGTAGCTTACTTTCATTTTTTCTTCAGCAAATTCCAACAGTGCTAATAATCTGTAGGGGAGGAAGAAAAATAAAAAAAGCATATGAATTATCAGTCCAGAGGAAATCACTTGGCTTAGTCAGGCAGAACACTGCTGAGGATGTTGAGAGGCACAAAACATTACTGGTCTACAAGCACTGTGGAATTACACACTTTGATTAACAATGGAAGCTGAGAATATCTTTCAATCAGACCAACTTGTACAGCTGGGAGGGATTGAAGGTACTAAACGTGTCTCATCTCACCCAACTATAAAAATTGGACCAATAAAAGATAGTCTGTCACCTCAAAAATCCTGTCTTGCTTATCTCTCTGGACCATCACTGTTAACAACAGAAGCTGGGATAACCGACTTTTCTGCCTTGCTCCCAGCTCCCCACGAACCATGGCAAGTCTGATAAGCCCAGAGCAAATCATTCAAGATCCTTGTTTCATACATGAAGTATGGAGGAAGTGTCTGTGAATTTCCCTAGCCTTGTGTAGGGCTAGCTTTTATAACTCAGTGCAGTACTGTGACTATCTCACCGGATCAAGTGAATGGGATGGAGTCTGTCCTGGCAGAGGAATTTTTGATAACCAAGGTCTCCATATGTTGACAGTAACAGTTGATAGCTGCTGTGTATCCAACCTGCATCTCCCCCCTCCAACAAGCTCAGGTGTACTCACCCTTTAAATGATCACTAAAGTGTCTTAAGTGGACAAGGAATACAAAAAATTGTCTCAGAGCCAGTAAAATACGTCTGCATATCGAGGCCTGTTCTGTGAACCTCCCACTGTTCAGATTCCCAATGCAGTCCCCCATCTGTGCCACCCAAGGTGGTGACAGAAGCAGGTGATGAAGTATTTTTTACCCTTCTTAGTGAAACAAATTGTGGTGGCCTAGACTGCCATAACTCTGCTGATCACTGCAGCCGAGGCTTGTCAGTCACGCTGACCTGACTATTGTAAGTGCACCACTGGAGTAGTTGTTAATAAGAATTTAAATCAAGACATAAATAAGCAGTGGCCAGCGAGATTGGAGATAACCAACGGGGATTAACTTGGAAGGGATTTTGTTAATATGATAATGATCTATTTTCATTATAACCTCTACCAGGCTTTTTACCTAGCTAAAAATAACTCTTATGAAATTGTACTTAAATCATGGTGACAGATAAATACCCTCACAGAAGAATCAATTCCCAATGGGGCTGAGGCAGCTGCAGTGTTTATAAACAAAGTCTTTATTTTCTGAGTAGCACTGCATATACTTTGGGTGGGGGTACATGTTTTAGAGTTCAGCTTAATGCACAGGTTTAGGCACCAGATGAAACTAGACTAAGTAAAGCATATACAAACCTATATTTGGGATCAAACTGGATAGAGGGGTGTGGACGTGAAAAAGAGGCTACCTGGCAGCAGGACAGTATATGATTACCCTGTCTCACTAATGCTACCATGAAGACAGCCTCACCAATTAGAGGCATTTTGAAAGGTTTACAGAACAAAGAAGAGAGCCATTAAGGCCACACCCCCAGGGACATGGACTACCAGTACTTTATACAGTAGTGAACACTCTATGGACACAGCTCTACTGACAAAATCTATATTTTATAGTAGGTTTTGCTAACCCAGTATAAGATGGCAAAGTTCTAGTCCAGAAGTGCAGTTCTGGATCACGATGCTGACAGTAACTCACAGTACAGACAAGGCTAAGATTACAGGCTAGCCTATGGAATAGAGATAGTTATCAACACTTTTGCCACTGGCTGTATGCCGGACATCATTCCCCAGCACTACATGCAGTATTTCAGGTCTTACCCTTCTTTGCTCCCATCAGCTAATACACCATCAGGGATTTCCACAAAAAGGCTCCGATTGGAAAGCACTGCATCCCAGGAGGTGGTCTTCACTTCCGTAACCTGGTACTGGAAGTGGATAATATGAGGCTTCCCGTCATGCACTGGGACCTCTTGGATAACAGTGAGCTTCTCGTCCTTCAGGTTTTAACAGTGAAGGGGAAAAAAAGAAGAAAAAAAAGAGAAAGTAGCACACAACAAGAATGAGTACATTTATTTAAGTGTCTTTCAGAAGTACTGTACATAATGGGGGAAACATCTGCTTGATCAGGGTTATTTTTTAAATTTAATCCGTTTTACAACTTGAGCCTAATTTGAAAAACTGAATGTAGAAGGGTATGACAACAAGCTTCAACTGAAACCTCAGTACTTATATTTTACTTCAACTGGCTTATTCCAGCACTGCTAATGATAGAGGCTCCTGTTTGACTTGTATAAATTACTGCAAGTAAAGAATGAAATACTAGGATTACTTGACGTTCCAGACAGGGCTCTTCTACCCTGTTAACACCTGCCCCTTGAAAACTGGACACCAAAGAGTCTCATGTTAAATGTCCCAAAACTGAAGCACCCAGAAATGTTAGTCATGACAAGTAAGGCAAAAAAACCAAACCAAACCAAACCTCTTTAATTAGCATACTTTAAACTCAGCCATGTAATGTTTGTTTGCTTATGGTAAGAGTACAGCATCCTAATGCCAAATCCCCCTGTAAACCTGTGTGTAGTCAAGCAGCAGAGTGTCTGTTAAGATTTTAGTTTTCCACTAAAAGTTCTCTGACCGGGGTAGCCTTTGTCCAGGCACATACAATAAGACGTGCAAGATCAGATCTACTAGGACTAGGGATCTTCTGCATACTTTCCAGGAAGTATGCGCCAGGTTTTTACCTTTCCAATACTTTTCCAGCTGTTTCATTCTAGCCTAAAACAGACTTTAAAACAGATAAACACTGTTTTAACATCACTCTAAAAACACCCCTGAGATTCTAAAAAAATCTAATTAAGGCATCCAAAAGGAACACCCCCCCCATCCCCTGCACTTTATCCATTAAAGCCTATAAAGAAATAAAGGCCTAGCAACATTTATTTTCAGGTTTTTAACAAAATATTTAGCTACCCTGGTATCAGACAATGTGTTGACACACTATAATGAACACTAAAGAGACTTCATAATTCCCAATTCAAACTCCCTTCAGTTTACTTGCAAGCTGTTTTGCATATATCACATTAAGAATCGCCCTTCTTAATGGTAAATGGCATCCCACTTCACAACAGGCCTAACTCATCCATTAAGTATGCCTCATGAACCTCTTCCCCACCCTCCAAAGAACACAGCTCACAATGAGTTCAACTAGTGGCTCAGCGCTAAAATTATCTACTCCTAGAGTCTAGCTAATTCCGCATTTCCCAGACCTTACAGCCAAAAGGAGGGAGCAAATCAACATCAAAGCAGATAATAATGTGTTACCAGAGAGGATTCTGTGTAGGTCATCTTGAAATACAGTGGGTAATGAAAGCTAGGATATCAGAACTTGTGTCTAGTGACATATGCTTGACAAAACCTCAGGCCTGAAATACTCTACTTGCCTATAAGAAGAGATATCATTTCAAACATTGGGTGCCATGGTTGTGACTTGTAAACAGTAAAAA